AAACGGAGAGAAGTACCGACATAATAAAACTCCTCCACAGGGTTATACACGATATTGAGACCAGAGGTGTACTCACCCCACAATTCACAGCCGGCTGGCTATGCCCCCTATACAAAAAGAAAGATAAGAGGGAGATAGAAAACTATAGGCCAATAACAGTACTTAACGCAGAATACAAAATCATGACAACTGCCCTCATGAATAAAATCGCTCCAATCGCTCCTAACCTCATAAATAAGTGCCAAGCCGCATTCATAAAGGGCAGAAGCATTCATGATCAAATCGACCTTGTCAACCGCATGATAGACCTATGCGAAATAGTCAACCAAAACGGAGCAATCGTCGCCCTAGACCAAGAAAAGGCGTACGACAGAATTCGCCATGACTACCTATGGCGCACACTAGAAGCCATGGGAATCCCAACCCCAACCATCAACACCATAAAAGCTCTCTACACCAACCCTAAAACCCGCATAATCCTAAACGGTGAAACCAGCAAAGAGTTCCTAATACACAGAGGAGTAAGGCAGGGCGACCCCCTATCGTGCCTTCTTTTCAACATAGCCATAGAACCCCTATCAGCAATGCTAAGAGAATCAGGCAAAATACATGGCCTTGAAATCAAAACCCCGGCACTCACCCAGAAAATCATCGTCTCCCTATTCGCAGACGATGCCGCGGTCTACCTCTCAGAAAAAGATGAAATAAACAACCTCCATAACATCCTTGACACATGGTGCACCGCCTCAGGAGCTAAATTCAACAAAGAAAAGACGGTGATTATTCCCATTGGCTCACCGACATACCGCAAAAACCTCCACGACACAAGGAAACTGAGCCCTAACTCAACCATGTCCTTCCACAGCGACACAACAATCCTCCAGGACGGCCAGACCACAAGATACCTTGGAGCCCAATGCGGAAACCATCCAAGCGGATCCGACCCTTGGCCGGACATTATGGCCAAAATCAATACGAACCTCAAAAACTGGCAAAAAACTTACCCAACAATCGAAGGGAGGAAACTCATCACCCAAATGGTGATAGGCGGCATGACTCAGTTCCACACCTCAGCACAAGGCATGCCAGAGAGCATCGAAAAAGAGCTCAGCACCCTGATAACAAACTTCATATGGGACGCCCAGATTCCCCCTCTCAACATGAGAACCCTAAACAACCCACTGGGGGAAGGGGGAAGAAACATCCTGAACATCAAAGCGAGGAATGAGGCAATCTACCTTATGAAACTGAAAAAAATCCTGGATAGATCCCCTAACAGGCCAGCTGCGGCGGATGCAGCTGAAGCAATAATCATCGCCACGCTTCCGAAACACATCCGCGACATGGAAACCCGCGACCCACGAATAGTTGACATCTTCTCCCAAAAAGTATTCAACAAGCAACGCTACTCGAGTAGGAACCTTCCACGTGAAATCAAGGCCGTCCTCAACACAGGGGCCAAGTTCAACCTAGCCCTCGACGACATTAACATACCACTGAACATCAGACTGGACCTCCCCACATGGCACCACATCGGGATGAATGACAATGCCAGAATGAAGGAAAATACGCCCGCAGCCAAATGCCTAAGAAGGACCCACGACTGCCTCCGAACCAGGGACCTCCTAGCCCAAGCCGACATCCTAGACGACCCACGCCACAGACGCTGGAGCAAACCTTGCCCCTGCCCCTTGTGCTCAAGCTACAAAAACAAAGGCTGTAAGAACCCCGAAACATGCTACCAACTCGCCGAAAATATGATCTCAAACCTCTGCCCTAAGTATAACCCTCGCACCGTTTTAGCATGCCGGCCCCCTCCCTCAAGGAATGACGAAACCAACACCGAAATTCACTCGCTAGGCGACCCGCTGAACGTCAGAACCATAAAAGCCTACCCCAAACCGGGAAACTACCTATCTGACTATTTCCGCATCTTTTGCGAAAAGAGCAACCGTGCTGCTCCCCCCGACCTTAGACCCCCTAGAGGCCTCAACACAGACATAATGGCCTACACGGACGGATCCTGTACCGGCAACGGCGAACCCGACGTCAGGGCCGGATTTGGTGTATGGATTGGCACCGACAACCCCAACAACGCGAGCCTCCCAGTCAACCACGCCTTTCCCCAGACAAATAACACCGCGGAAATACTGGCGATAAACCACGCTGTGGCCACTGCACCCTGAAGTGCCAGACTCCATATCAAAACCGACTCCAGATGGTGCGTGAACACACTCACCACAAACCTCGACAAAACCGAGGACCAAAATTTCATCGGGACACCCCAACCTCTCGCCATCAAGACCACAATAAACACCCTCCGCAAGAGAAATGGCGTTGTCTCAATAGAGTGGATAAAAGGCCACAACGGGTGCAATGGCAACGAAAAAGCTGACGAACTCGCTGCCTTAGGATCCTCGGCCCCCCCAACTGACGAACTAGCCCCCCCTACCCTCCCCTACACTCAAAACGGTGCAAGGCTAAGCGCCCTAACACAATCGATCACCACAAAACTAATAATAAGAGAATCAGCAAAAAAGAAACTCACTAACAGTCAGAGATCGACGGAAAACCTAGACCGCATAAGAGACATCCTAAAAAACATGGACTGCCCTGCCCCCAATGACAGCAGAATCTGGCTCGCCATCCTAAAGAACAAGAAAGAACTGAACCCCAGCCTAAGAAACTTTGTATGGAAACTGGTCCACGGCGCCCACAAAGACGGTCTCTACTGGAGCAAAATCCCGGGTTACGAGGACCGTGGTCAGTGCCTGAAATGCGGGACTACTGAATCGATGAACCACATCATTTTCGAGTGCCCACACAACCAAGGCCCAAATCTCTGGGCCGCTGTCGAAGACATGTGCACAGCGAAAGGCATCAACTGGCCCGCCAACATAGGAATACACCACGTGATGGCAGCCCCCCTGATATCGATCAAAAAGAGAAACGGCTCCGTAAAACTCGGCGCATCTAGATTTTTCATGATAACCATACTCGAATGCGCCTGGCAGATATGGAAACTAAGGTGTAAAAGAATCCTAGGAGACAACACGGAAAGAATCTCACTGAACGAAGCCGTTAACACACTTAAAGCTGCCATGAACGATAAGCTGTGCCAAGACAAACACCTCACGAACAGAAGAAAGTATCATAACAAAGCCCTCCCTGGATGGCTCGTCCTACACACATGGAGCGGCGTTATCGAAAACGAAGCGTGCTTCCCTGAGAATTGGCTGAAATGCAACGGGGTTTTAGTGGGTATACCCGACCCCCCACGGTCGTGTGAGCCCCACACGGTGCGATAATGATTTCGCCAGTGCGATAACGCATTTCCCCGCGGTGGCAATTCCCATCATACAGGCACTAGATACACCGATAGGAAGGCCTAGTCCTTCCCCACAAACCTTCAGGCACTCAAGCCCGCGAAAGCTACAGAAGGTTCCACCAAAAAAAAAAAAAAATTAAACATGATGCGGATTTCTATATTCCCGTCATTGGTATAACTTTACAACGGCTGGACTGTTTGGGCTGAAAATTTTCATAACTATAGTTTCTTATTTTTCATAATTTCCGTGTAAATTTCGTTGTATGTTTTAATTATGAATCCTACGTAAACATCGTCTTTTCCCTGAGCTCGGACTTTTGATGTCGCTATTCCCGTTATTGGATATCTCATTAATGTGTGATCCTTTTATTATGAAAATTTGGGTGGATTAAGATTAGATCCCTTCCTTTCTAATGAGCTATCAAGCTCGTCTCGGTCGTTACTGGTTATTCTTCGCACTTGCTTTTTAAGCGTTGTCCTCATTTTGCGGGAGTTTTAGTCATATCTCCATCGTTTATGGGTAGTTTCCCCTGTAATTACTCTCATTGGGTCCGTTTGGGGGACATCTATATTTCCTATTATAAACACAACTTTGAATTTTGCATTAGTTCCTGAGGAATCCTTGTTCCGTGGTACTTCCATCCTTGGCTATGTGTGCAGATGTGGGAAAGTAGTTTCCATCGAGGTTCTCTGATTGTTTCTATAGTCAAATCTTGGTCAATTGTCCTAATTCTTTGTTTAATATTTACTATAAATTTCCCCGAGAATTCCGTCTTGTTGATGCTAAGCTTGAAGTATTTTTGCTAATTTTCTTTCTTTCAATTTATTGCGTATAGTCATGATAATTCGTAAAAATTCGTAAAAATTCATTAAAATTCAGGTCCTTCTATTTTCTCATATCTACTTGTCGTATGGGGTTTTGTGATTTATCTGGCATATTTCCATAATGGGTTTCCATAGTGTGTCCATTATTTCTCCTACACCGCTCCGCTCCACCCCACCATTTACAGGCCTGCCCTTGTTGTAACTATATATACTCAACTTGTACATAGGTTACACCTCAGTAATAAAATCGACTAGAGTTGACCCCCTTTAGTTCTCATTGCCAGTCAGTAAGTTAGGGCATGGACATGTAACTTGGCACAGCGCTCCTGGCATAAGTTGCTGAGGCTGAAGCCCTCCACCACGGAGACATTCCTTCATCTCAATCTGGTCTCTGACAGTTACCCCAAGTCCCTCTGAGTGAATCCTGACCCCTTCCTACAAGATACCTCAGACACATGAAATACAAGGACTAACTGAGATGTAACAGAGGCACAGCTCTCCCTCCAAGTCGCTGAGGCCGCATCCTTCTTAGAGCCTCTTGTACCACCCAGCAGACCCAGGCTTCCTGGAGAAGCTTCGGTCCACTACTGGAGCTCTCAGATCCCCTCTAGTGAGCCCCGCCTGCATTCGGACTCATGCATTTTCCCCTACGTTTGGGGTTTTTGACAATATTCTGGATTTGTAATACTAGTAGCCTCACCGAGCCCAATTTAGATGACAAAGGCTGTGATTGAACAGGATGAGGCCAAACGAACAAAATACCTGTGTGAAGTTGGCCAGTACAGAGCAGATCAGCTCATATTTGTTGACGAGAGCTCATTTGATAAGCATACAACTCATCGTAACTATGGCTGGTCGCTTTGTGGTGAGCACGCAACTAAACGGTGTCATTTCATCTGTGGTCGAAGGCACAGTAAACATTGTTTGGCAGAATGCATGCACTGAATGGCTTTATAGATACTCCATATTGCCTGCACTATGCGTCAATGGCATCATCTGGCTCAACATCATTGAAGGATCATTCGACACCGAGCACTTTGCCACTTTTATTAGAGGCCTCCTCCAGCAAATGAATGAAGCTAGGTATGTCTTGTTTATTGTGATTAATACACTTGTCCAGTGGAAAACACTTGGTCTTTCTTTCCCCTTATAGCCTGGATTTCAGCCCCATTGAGCCCTCCTTCGGCTGGGTCAAGTCTCTTGCACAGCACAATGAAATGTTGTGTTGGGACATGTCCATCCGAGACAATGCTGATGCCTCTCTTGCTGTGGCTACCCGCCTTCATCATTACATTTCTGCTATCACACCAGAGCTTGCTACTTTGTGGTTCAGGCATTGTAATTACTTGTAGATATGTATATATTTCAGGTATAAATGTGCAGTTTGATATGGAGGTGAAGATGAAGTGGCAGGTGTGAAAGATCAGTAAATGACAGAATGGTCACCAGTGAAGTAAAGGTTTCGGACATGCTGGACCTCCTCCCATGCACACCTAACAATGCACAGAGCTGATCTGTAAGGTAATTTCGGGTTGAGAAGATTGCTAAGCACATCCAGTGTAAAGTATGCTGTCTCAAGCAAATCTTCAACTGTTCGGAAATCTTGCTGCTGGAATTGATGGCCATAGGAGGCAAGATTAGAATGTCCATCGATGCAATTGAGTGTATTAGCAGGGTATCAATCATCATGTAATGTAGTTGGACACTGAAAGCTATAACGAATTGTGAGATTGTGATACAGAAATTGAGGGTACAAGAATGGAATGGACGTACGGACTGAGTGCAGAAGAGATGAATCGGGAATGCCTCCATTTCCACCTATATTCAGTACAGGCAGCAGATGCGGGGTGAAAACTGGCAAGTCTGAGTTTAGGCCCAAAGCATTGGGCTGCGGAGTTGGGCCCCCAATCACCATGCTTGGTGATGGCTGCCTTGAACCTGATGTTGCACCATGCATCGGGTGATTGACCAGTTCACCTGGTGGAATGTTGAGTGCATTAGGCAGAGTGTTCAGGTCTGCCCCCCCTAGTTCCTACAAAGCTATGAGAACAAAGGAAGTGTGGTAGGCTTAAACTTACCATCATCATTGCCCATAACCTCAATTCCTCAACAGTAAGGAAGTGATGCATTCCGTCCTTCAGAACAAGACAAAACTTGTTCCTATGGTTGTTACACTTCCCATACTTGTTTTGCAGTTGACTGAAATGCAGGTCCATGGGTGCAAATGCTTCTGACTTGACATCACCTTTGAATCAGCTGCCAAATGGGGCTTTCGCTGGTTTTTTGCTGGAAATCATAGCCTACATTCAAGCATAAGTGTGGACAATATCATAATATAATATTAGATGGACACTTACCTTTTTTTCGGTTGCCAAACACATATCCCGGATGGAAACAGCCAAGGGTTTGATGACGGCTCCTGGTTGGCTGCTTTTCTTTGTTTTCTTTTTCAGAAGTGCTGATTGCTTCCGCAGCTCATATGTAACTGCCCTCTGCATGGCCTCGTACTCCCTCTCACTTGCAACGCTGTGATACTTTGCCATCTTGGGCTCTGTGCTGAGCGTGAATCCAAGGTTCAGATCAGACTCTTCGCACTTCATTGCATTCGCAATGTAGTATTGGAATAAGTCCCAGGATCCCCCAATGTTGATTGGGACGGGTTTTGTCATGTTACCGACATCAACGTTGAAGTTTATGATCTGGTCTGTCACACTTTTTTATTCGTTTTTGGGAAGATATTTGATACAATCACTCACCTTCCACTACATCCTCCTGAAAAGCAGTACTGATGTCATCAGCAACATGCAATGGATCCTCATCAGGAATGTGGTCGTCATCAGACAAGCTAAGCATGTTAGAACTGGGCGAGGGCGGTGTAACGGGTCTATCGAACTAGACTCGCAACAGGAAGGAGGGGGGATAGAAATCTCACTGAGGGTCAGGTCTGAAGTGGGGTATATTGGTCCAGTTGAGTCTGGTGCTGATAACTCTCTAGCTACTGTACAGCGGGTCACGGAAGAGTCCGATAGACAAAATAGGAAAGAATATCACATGACAATAAGAAAATGGAAACATTGGCCTCTAGACATCGGAAATGGAATCAGAAAAATTAGGAAAAATAGGAAATGTGTGTAAAGAGTGTGAGGGGATATAGGCTCCATGTGATGGATGTGAGGTGCTTGCTGAGGGTGGTAGAATCGCGGGATTTGGCTCATTTATGGTACACCGGCAAATCCCCGTGACAGTGGACGATTCCGGAGGGGAACCAGAGACTTAGCAAGGAGGGACCTTGGCCTCAGCGACTCATGTGGAGCACTGTGCCATTGCTGTTTGTCCATTTGGTCCTTAATTTCATAGGCATTAGTCTCTAGGGGGCATTTCAGGTCGATTTTAGACTAAGAGGCTAAAACAAGTATGTACAAGCACCGATATATAATGGAGAGGGCGAAAGCACGAGGAAACGAAGAGGGTCTGAATTGGAACAAAGGCATCCAAACAGGACAAAGGGAAAACGAAAGCGGAGTGGCACCAAAGGTCATAGGTTTAGAACCTGTGGTACATCTGAAAGGAGATCGGGAGGGCGAAGCCCAGAGGGGCAGGAAGATGAGGTGAAGTGGGGATGATGACTAACTGACTAGAATGGGAAGAAGCAGCAGTCTAAATAAGGATGAGGGGAAAGCGCGAAAGATACATTACAAGCGGCAAAAGTGCTGGGTATGGTCTGTGGAGCTCAGAGGTTACGGAGTTTATGGAGGCAGGGTTGAAAGTCCAAGGAATGTTGGCAATGGTGTTTATGTAGTATGAGGTCACCAATGCAATGGACTTAAGCCAAGGTGGAGTCAAAGTCTGAGGTCGGAACTATGACAGGATCTCGGAGCGAAGGTACAAGTGGTGTCCGAGTACAGGGTATGGGACAGTGGCAGAAGGTCGTAACTTGCCAGAGGTTTGGCAGAAGAGGGTCTGAGGGAGGAGAGAGGAGAGAGGAATGGGGAGAGGAGTGGGGGAGAGGAAAGGTGTCAGGTCCGAAGGTGAGTATCAGAGTGGATGGAAGTAGGGTAGGAGAGTGGCAGAAGGGTGGAGATGTTGTGAGGAGTAAGAGGAGGAGGGTGGCGAGAGGAGTGATGTTTGGTCCGAGGTGAGTATTGGAGCGGACGGAGATAGGGTAGGACTCCGGAGGTGGTGAAGCAGAGGGTCCGGAAGTCGGATCGGGATTGGGTATGTATGGATATGACAATTGTTCAGAAATCAGGAGAAGGATAGGCATGTACCAAAGGTTTGGCCAAACCTCCTTCACTGAAGAACCTCTTGAACAGAGAGGTACCACCATGCTCTCTCAAGAAAATGAGAGAATTCCTATCCAGTTGTCAGAGACCGGGTCGAGACGAAGGAGTGTCTCCATGACAGAGGGCTTCGGCCTCAGCGACTTATGCCAGGAGCGCTGTGCCTAGTAAACACGTCCGTGCCCTAACTTACTAACTGGCCACCAGAACTGAAGAGGGTAAACTCTAGTCGATTTTATTACTGGAGTGTAACCTATGTACAAGTGTAGTATATATAGTTACAGCGAGGGCGGGTCCGCAAATGGTGGAGCCGAGCGGAGCGGGGCTAATGGGGTTTAGACATTAGCCGATTGAATATTACCGACGAGTCGGGTTACGGGGTTAGCAGAAAGGCAGGCGATAACCCAGAAACGGAAAGGAGGGATAGGCCCGAAGGTGAGCTTGCAGGGCAAGCAAGTGTATTTCCCAGTGGAGGCGGGAGTGCGCTGTAGGCAGGCACAGCCGGTACCACGCAAACAAGCCGATTATCGCGATTCTACCACCCATGTCAAGTACCCCACTCCCGAAACACATCTACCACTGTTCCAGATACCCCTTCCATGTTTCCCATATTTTTTCCGATTTTTTCAAGCCATTCCCGACCACGGACAACCATCAGTTTCCAAATTGGGCAACTGTCACCCACATATTCCGCCGCTTCCTCTGTATCTCCATCAATTCTCCACCGATCCGGACGAATTTGGTATCGTTGGAAAGCCCTTGTCAACACGAGTCGAACGATGTTACGAGTGACGCATTTGGTTCAGCGGCTGTTCCGATCGCCATGGTTCTTTATTTCCTTAACAACATCAATATTTCTTTGATATTGCTTTTTTCTTATTTGTTCCTTGTGGATCTGTTGCCGTCCTAAACCCGTCGGATCATTCGGATTTCCACGTATTTCTTTCATATTTATAGTTACCCTCTTTCCGGTATTTACAAAAAAGGACTCCCCCAACAGAGAGAGGTGCTCCCCAAACGAACATGAAGTTCTAGCAGACATTACCAGTGCCCAGAGCAGCGAATACGAAGCCAAAGAGGCTCAAGACATAGTGCAGGGGCAGAGTTCCCCATCAGTTTGATTATCAGTGAGATTTACGAGTTTATCATTTTTTTTATCACATAGCACCGGACCATTTCTCCTCCCCCCTCCTCATCATCCGAACCTCCCCTGAGCATTCCCAACTCTGTGGCCCCCTCTCTTTCTCATTAGGGTGGTAGATCCCTTGCCCCCTTACAGCACTAGCGGACGTCGGAGCTGTCCGGAAGCCTTCGGGGCTCCATACTTAGGGAGGCATAGGTAATAAATTGAAAGGAGGGGGTGGTGACCATCGAGGGGTACCGAGGGGATTGCGGAATACGGGAGCTCCAAGGTTAGTGAGGAAGGAGCGGAAGTGGAATGGAGGGATCAGAGGGATCGGAAGTCGATGGCCAGGGATGGATATGACACCAGTCTCAGGTGCAACCACCCAAAACAAAAGAACCACTGAGAGAAAAGTCTCTCCCAGTGAAAAACACTCCATTGGACAGTGACCCTGCTAAGGCAGGGGAACAAGAGGAGTACCTGGAAAAATGTACTCACTCCATTCCCGGAGGGAGTAAAGCCGGAAGCCCTGAAGAACAGCCTGGCTGTCAGGGGACACCCCACCTGACCCTGCACCGTGCCACCCTACTCCACTCCCCTGCTATCACTCCTTGTTTCTTCTTTTCCCTTTCCTTCTTTCTATTTCCATTCCACGGTCGACTTCCCCTTCTCTATGTATCATTACACACCTAACCCCACTCCCCTGATCGCTGCACCCGCCACACGCATTCCCACTCACAGAGCGGCACACCTCTGGGATCTCCTGCAGAGATACCCAGGGAAGTGCAGCTGTGTGTGGAGATGATGTGGCTCCTCCCATGTGACCCCAACCGCATGTATATAATAGTGCCTGGGGTGGGAACAGAAGAAGCAGCCTTCTTCTCAACTTCCCACTTCAGACTAAGTGGTTGGGGACACTCACCCCGCAACGGGACCGCCGCTATGTGTTGGAATTTGTACACGTGGTCTCAGGAACCTTAATGCATAAAATATGGACATTCTGGGAGTCGAACCGCAGAGCCCTGCATAGGTACCTTGAGTGTGTTACCATTACACTAAATGCCCGCATTAGGCAGAGGTGGTTTCTAACACTATGCATAGCTGACACCTGTCCCATCGAGTCCCTCGTGCCGGGACCTCGCTGCTTTCGGAGCTGTCCCTGACACTGTTGTAGTACATCTACCTCTTGTTTTGATTTCCTTTTCTTTTCTTTTTATGTGTCACATGACTGCAGAGATGAACTCTATCTGTTTCTACTCTTGTATAAACATTACAGTTCATCTCAGAGGTGCCATAACCTGAATTACAATGGACACTGGCCTTCCCTGACAAGAAATGGTCAGGGGAGAATGACATGGAGTCATTCTGGCAGTGGTTCATGGAACTACTGGGATTCCTTGCCTCGCAAGGATGCAAAGGCCCCCAGTTCAATGAAGTCCATTTGGACTGTTTAATTCGTGGACTAGGGGGACCTGCATTCGACCTCAGAATTAGACTTTGAGATGAAACTCTCCTCAGAGGAGATGAGGGCATGTTCCTCAAAGTTCTCAACATACTGATGAGAACTTTCATAAAAGCATCTGCCACATTAAATGTGACAAAAAAGTACCGCAATGTAAAATATGAGGTGGGCAAAGGTTTAAAACAGTTCTATTTAGAACTGTCAAAACCAGTGTCCCAAATGGTGACACCACCAGACCAGGCATCCTTCAATGCCAGGTTCCTAAACAACATTGCCCTCAAATGGAAGAGGGAAATGATCACTCATGACAGAATCAGAGTGGACTTCTCCTCAAACGAGGAGATGATAAGAGCAATATCTTGTGTAGATGAGATAATTGATGGGCTGAAGATGTCTTCAGCATACAAATCAGGTTATTACACCCAAACAACCACCACAGCAACCACAAGCTGTGGTAAACCCTCCCATCAGGGAATAGGGCTGAGGAGCCCAAACCCAGATGGAAAGCGGACTCATCCTCAAAATATTCGAGGAAAACTGACCAAAAATCAGTTTCAATTTGCAGCAAGTGCAGCAAATTAGGGCAAACAAAAGATTGCCCTAAACATCATGCAATAAGTGACAAGAAACCAAGGCACATAGCTGCCATGGAAGTTGCCCATTTATCAGAAGAAGAGTCAGAGGACTCATTGGAAGATAAACCAGAGAATAACTCTGGTGACTCTGAAGCATCAAGCTTTGAAGTTGAGGACCCATACGGGGGACCTCAATACTCACCTGACTCAGAGGATGAGGAAGTCAATG